ACGGGGCGGCCGCGGCGGCGGCGGCGGCGGCCGCGGGCCAGGTGGCCGCGGCGTCGGCGGCGGCCGCGGTGGTCGGAGCGGCGGGGCTGGCCTCCATCTGCGACTCGGACACGGACCCCCGGGAGCTGGAGGCCTTCGCCGAGCGCTTCAAGCAGCGGCGGATCAAGCTCGGGGTGACGCAGGCCGACGTGGGCTCGGCCCTGGCCAACCTCAAGATCCCCGGGGTGGGCTCGCTGAGCCAGAGCACCATCTGCCGCTTCGAGTCGCTCACGCTGTCGCACAACAACATGATCGCACTGAAGCCCATCCTGCAGGCGTGGCTGGAGGAGGCCGAGGGCGCGCAGCGCGAGAAAATGAACAAGCCCGAGCTCTTCAACGGAGGCGAGAAGAAGCGCAAGCGGACTTCCATCGCCGCCCCGGAGAAGCGCTCCCTCGAGGCCTACTTCGCCGTGCAGCCCCGGCCCTCCTCCGAGAAGATCGCCGCCATCGCCGAGAAACTGGACCTCAAAAAGAATGTGGTGCGGGTTTGGTTTTGCAACCAGAGACAGAAGCAGAAAAGGATGAAATTCTCCGCCACCTACTGAATTTGGGGCTGGGGGAAGAGGGGGACACCTGGGGAGGGGGGGCGTGGGGAGGGGGGCTGAGACTCGGGCGTGTTTTGTGTTGGGGGGCTTCCCCCCTTCCTTCTTTCCCCACGGTTTGATTTTCGTTATCCTCTCTCTTTTTTACATTTTTTACTTTTCCCTCCCCAACACCCTCCTCTTTCCCCACTCTCTCCTTCTCTGCGCTCCTCTCCACCCAATTTCCCGGTCCCCTCCTTCCTTCCCTCCTCCTCTGTGCCTCCTCCCCTCCCCCGCCCCCTTCCCTCGCCCTCCGCCCGGAGGAAAGAGAATGCTGGGTGTGGAGAGGAGGTGGGGAAGTAGTGGGGAGGGAGGAGAGGCGTTATTGAGTGGGAAGCAGGGGTAGAAAGAGACAGAACAGAGGAAACAGGAGTTGTGAGGAACTGGGCTGGGGGCTTTTGGGGGGATGCTAGGTTGGGAGGACTGTATGGGAAGGGAGGGGAAATTGACTTGTTCTTGACCAGAGACACTTATAAAAATATCCTGGGGACCAAGGAACAATGTACAAAAACCAACCAACCACCAAAAAACAAAAAACGAAAAAAACAAAAAACAAAAAAAAAATCTATGGAAATAAAGAAATACTATAAGCAAAAGCAAACGCTTTAGAAATCTAACTCTGGGGATCCGTCCTCTGCGGCTTGATTCCCCCCTCCCCCCAAGGAAGAGAGTTAAGAACACCACCACCACAACTACTACCACCGCCCAAATCATAAAAACACACACACACACACACACACACACACACGCACACACATGCACGCACGCACACGAATAAACGAAATCACAAATTTAAAGAAAAACAATCAGAAGGTGAAACTTGGTGTCTGTGCTAATACTAATTATTTTGGGCTTTGATTTCATTTTTCTAAGTTTCACCTCCACCCCACCCATTTTGGTTTTAATTTAATGAAATCCTCCCTTTTCATGAGGCTTCGTGATGGTGGTTCTCTGTATCGTGGGGATTTGGGTGGGTCGAGGGCGGTTTGGGGGCTATTGCATGGTTATAGGGAGTGACAGTTTTCAGGTGGCCCAGCCTAACCTTGTCAGGTTCTGATTTGGCAAGGGTCGGTCTTGGCAGGGGTTGGTTAGAGCTGTTCTGGTGAGATGGGACCCCTGACATCATCTCGTGGAGACTAAGAGGCAGAGAACTGAGTCTCGAACACAGATTTTATTCTGCCTTCACATTTAATTCAGATCTAGGAAACAAACCATTTTTAATAGTTTTCTCCAAGCGAAAGTTACCTCATCGTTGCCCCCCTTTTTCTTTTGTGGGTGTGGTTTGTTTTAAAATATATCTATATATTTATATATTTTTTCTAGCTGTTCAAATATACAGATTGCAACTGTTAGCGGTAGAGGATGACAGGAGAGATGCTCTGCCCACATTGAGGCCGAGGGACAAGATGCACTTCGATCTTGTAGGTCCCCTTTCCAATTTGCTCAAGAGGTTGAAGAGGATAATGCAATGTTTAAAGTTCCTGATTTCCAGCTATAGGACAGGACCTAGTTATTATGAAACCAACGAAATCAACAATTGAAAGAGGCAATATTTGACGTGGCTGGTTTGTTTCTGAGGGATCTGCATGTTGTTGGGGGGGGGGAACAATAATTGGATTTCCTTTGGAAAAAAAAATCGTTTATTGTCGGTAATAAACGTTGGGTAGTGGAAACTTTTTTTATTTGCACTATCAGTCTCCCGAATGAAAAGAAAAAAAAATTATGTGTAGCATTTCACAGTGATAATGAAAGTACATCGTGAAACTCGGATGGAATAATTAAGACAGAGAGAGTTAAAAGTGGTTAGTTAAATGCCAGCTTTGTAAAGGCACAAGATTCTGTTTTTGAATTTCCTGATATATTGATGTATAGCCATCTATTACCAAGGATAAGGAATTTCTAAAAACAGAACAAATGAGGGGGAGGGGATGAAAAGAACCTGCCATTTAACAAGACTGAAATCATGCATGACCTGAAAGGCACAGAAACAGCCGTGATTAGGTCTCACTCTGATTACTTATTATTTATTTATTTATTTTGTGTATCATTGTTTGCAGCGCAAACATTCTATGCATTTGAAACTGAGCACTAAATAGACTAGCTTCTGGTAGACCTTTTTGTGGGTGGTGTGATTTCACCGTTTTACTGCCTGTTTTCACCGAAAACACAACATTCTTGTCACATTCTTGTATTTAGAAAAGAAAAAAGATTATTGTAAATATTTTCTTTAATGCACAAAAAAAGAGAATACAAATTGCAACCACGTGTAGCTCCTGAAATGTCTCACTGATTTATCTACCTGTCCATGTATGTTTGCTGAGCTTTCTCCTTGGTTGTGTCTTTCCTATATTCCTTTTTATTTCTATCAGAAATATTTCTGTAAGCCAAAATACAACAGGGAGATGTGTCCCAGCACACTTACAAATAAAACACAATTGAAAACAGAACAGTTTTATTATTATTGGCTGCATTTTTGTTTCTGATGCAGGGCTGATAAAAGTCCAGGTAGAGCCGTTCAACAAATGAGACTTAATTCAACCAAAAAGAGGAAGAGAAAAAAAATGAAAGGGGGGAAGGAAAAAAGGGGGGTTGTGAAAAGATGTATTTTTCTGCCGAATCAGAATTCATTACTTTGAGATAGCTCTTATGTGAAAAGCGGTGCTCTGAATAAAATGAACTATATATTAGCTGCCTGTGTTTCTTGAAATTTATTTTACCTCTAGAAATCTTAATTCAAGCTACCAATCAAACCGCATCACTCGCTTTAGTGTTCTAGAAGGCAATGTGCACCTGTGAAGTCAGTGTTATGCTTTGGTGGTTTGAGCTTTTATATGTGTTATTTTGGCTTAATTGCACTTCTAATAATGATGTAACTAAATGCTTTATTTTTATTTGGGGGCTAAAAATTATAAAAACCATTAACTGCTCTGTCCTGATACGTTGTAAGACACAATTGTTCATTTGGAACGTACAGGATGCCACCTACTGCTTCAAGTGATCCAAGACCCTCTGTCTATTTTCTGATGACCTGTGACTAGATCAGATGCCAAATGTACAAAAGTTTCTTAATAGCTGGGATTATTTCTTCTGGAGACATCCTATTTTAGCCAAATCTTTTTAATTTCACCGGTAAATCTGTGAACCAAGACACTTACTTGATGTTCAGAAAAGAATAATACATCAAAAAAAAAAGCTGTGATTTTAAACAATTGTTAATGTTTAAAAAAAAGCACTAAAGGTATTTTTAAAATAGATCTCTTCCATCAGAAATTGACTTGTTTCTGTTGTTATTGACTTGAAATGTCATCAGAGTTTTTAATAAATGCATTTGTAAAAATATTATTTTATAGAAAAAGTATGATGGGATTTCATTTTTGGAAAGCCAGGAATGAACAAATAAAAAAAAAGAATTACAAAGGCTGTTTTTTTTTTTAATCTGCCCAAAACTGAAATGTTGCAGGCAAATACATTTGTATTATACAATAATGAATAATGTATGTATTGAAAACTTAAGAATCTGTTTTGTATTAAGTAAATCCTTACCAATTACGAAGAAAACACTATGTTAATAAAACAAAATGAAAATATATGATTTGCAGAGTTACCTATTTTATGTAGTAGGAAACTGTGCAAAACATGAATGCTTTGCTTTCTATTAAATGGATGAGTATTTAATGGAAGACTTAAGTTATTTATTAATATCTTTAATAGGCAATCCTTTTGAGATATGTATGTTTGTATATACATAAAAATATGTTACAGGAAAGTGTACAGTGATTTGTCACACAGTAGTAGCTTTGCTTTTCTATGCTTACAATTATAAAAGAGGTGGAAGAGAGGAAGTTTATTCAACCTTAAATCATGGTCCACTAACTGGGCTAGATTGTAAATAGATGGCTCAAAGTCTTTTAAGAGTGGCCCTGAGGAAGCCACAATGACTCAAGAAGAATAGACAAGTGGATTAAAAGGGACACCTGATCCTCTCAGAAAATTCAGGATTTGGTGAAGAAAGGGAAAAGGAAAAGAGCAGGCACCAACTTTTGCATCGACTTTATTTCCATTTCCTCCCTTTCTGCTTGTCCTCCTTCCTATATTTTGACTTTGGGGCTTCTGCCCCTTTTCCCTGATAGAGTCTAAACTGAAGTCCCTTTGACTCAAACTGACTTGTGGAATGTCTGTTTAACACTTGTTCTACAAATGTTTTCAACTTAGATTATAACGTCACAAAATGAATGCTAAATACCCTCAGCAATGATAGTATTGATTTCCCTCACCCCCCAATGTGATATTAAGACTAATTTGATCTTTTTTTCAATAAGTTAACTTCCTGGAAGCAAGAGAAAGGAGTGTCTAAATAGCAGAGGTTTGTGCCAGGAGTATTCTCCTCTTCATCTCAAACATTATCCTTCCTTTTTCCTTTCTTCCCTAAAACAGATTTGTTAAAAGACATTTTTTTTTCTTCCATGGGACTGATCTCTAAGCTAATTCGTCTCGTTTGTCCTGAATTTATGTGGGTTTTCTCTTCCCAGCTCATTTCAACATCTTCAGTATAGTTGGCTGAGGAAAGGGTTCTTTATTTAATACGATTATACTATTCATATTGTTATTGCCATAGTATTATCATCACGAGCAAAGCCTGCTGTATTTGCTTGCTGTTTCGAAGGAGACAACAAGCTTAATTGATTTTTTAAAATAGCAACCGGATTCCGATTCTCTTGGGGATCTCTTCCCATCTGCGAGATAAGCCTATTCTCAATAATTATGTTATTTAATATTTGATAAAATATTCGTCCTTGCTGCTGTTTAGGCCCGCTTCACGCGCTCAGTGTTTATAAATGGAACTTGCTCCAAAAGAGATCTCCACTCCTGGAGAGCCCGTATCCAACCACGTGCCCTACAAAAGGATCGCTGCAAATACAATTATAGTGCGGCCTTTAATAATTCATGGCCTGAGATCCTGAAAA